CTCCTCTAACGATAAGAACAGGTAAGTTCCATTCTCCAGGGAGAATCAACAGCATACCATCTTCCCCTCCAGCCCTCCTTTTATGCTGTTGGCAACAATCCTCAGGTGGGCCTTGCACACCCAGAACCATGCTGACTCAGTTCACCTGGGTGTTACAAGTTGACCGTTAGTTAATCCACCACAATGACCAAGCTTAAGATTTAGATTTTAGAGTAATTGAGAAACAAAGTGGAAGTTAACCCATAATTATGTAGAGCTCTTCTAATAATAACCTATTTATTCTGAAGGACAGTGAGGTTGGTAGACAGAATCCTGGAGAATACCATTTGAGGGAAAGAAATCCCCTTTGGAGACAACAAGGAAATGGTCAGGTAAATAGAAGAAATTTCAAAGAGAGTGTTCAATATAGGTGTTATCAATTACATTTAGCAGACTAAGATCTGAGGAGCATTTATTGCAAGTCAGTGTGCAGGTCACTGGTGTCTTTAGTTAAAGTTGTTTCACTGGGTAATGTAGTCAGTGCCTAGTAGTTTGAAGAGCAGATGGACCCAGTGAAACAATACTAGGACCCAACTTCATGTGCTGGCCCTCCCAGCCTATAATAGAAGAGATATAGTAATCACTACTTGGAAATGTGTTTCTATTCTTATTTTCTTTTACTATTGCAAAATTTCAATATAATTTGAAAGGGCTAATGGATAGAGTTGGGCGGTTATGGAGTTGGGGGTATGTGGAAAGCATTTGCTCATGCATAGGAGGAATGCTTTTGAAATGCCACTTCCAGAACTGGAAGGGCAAAGGAGAGGTCTGACCTAGCCTCTCATTCTCAGAAACATTAATATATGGGCACCCTGTGGAATTCATCTTCCATTTCACTCTGTCCCCACGTGTCATTGTTGGTGAATAGATACTAGATGGTGAACCATGGGCAGGGAGGCATTTCTACCCCACACAACATGTTGTTTGCTTGAGGGGGATACTGTCTCCTTTATGCATCATGGAACCTGAAACTTGCCATGTATGTTTATATGTCAGCTTGTTAACATGCCAGGGAGAGCAACTGCTAGCTTCTAGTTCAGAATAGAACCTGGTTAGGGTGGGGGACATCCTGCTAGCCAGATGGGGCAGAGTTCTGCCAGTTTCCAGTGCTAGGGAAACCCTGATTGTAATCAATAACAAACCTATGAATATACCACCCAGGAACACGTGGCTGTGAACCAAACCTCCTTCCTACGTTGGTCTAATCTCTTGGCAACTTTCCTTGTTAGTCTCCCCTTTGCTCCTACTTTCTTGGGGAAGAATCCCCAAAGAGGAGATTTTGTAAAAGGGAGTAGGCAGAAAGAATGGTTGGAAAGCTAGCTTCAGATACTGCGTCATGAGGAAGAAATTTCTGGTTAGTCACATTATGTAGGGCTTCAAACTTTAATGGATTTTGATTGATGGATGGAAGTCAAAGCTAAAAACCAAGGGAAGGCCTACATGTGTTTAAAGATTTTGAATTAGAAATGCTTTCCTTCCAACTCTTCCTAAAAGGAAGTCACATAGGGAAAGCAAAACAGTGATGAAGGAACTGGAGGGGCAACAGCAGGCCACTTTCCTCAGGGGTTTTCTAAGTTCCCAGGCCAGGCCTGGCTGCCTGCTCGGGAAAAGAGCAAGTGCTCTCAGCCATAGCTTCTCGTCTCCACTCCTCACATCTTTCTGCCAGATGGCCGGGAGGTGCTGGCCCTTCTGCTAAGTGCAACCCGAGCCCGGAGAACTTTGGTCCACCAATTTCCCCCTTGCTCTGGCCTTCGCTCCAGCAAGGCCTAAAATCTAGTGTCAAGCAGCTGAGAGGCTAGCAACTCTGGACTGTGGAGCTTCGAGAAGAATCTTCCCAGTCTGAAGGCTTTCAGTGGCAGCACTGGCTTCAAGGGGGCTGGGAACCCGTATTTAGCCATCTTAGTCCTTTGGGGAGGGGGGATGAGCTCTCTGTCTTATCTTGAATTTCCCTGTAGTGTTGTCCTGAATTTAAAAAAATACAGTCCATAATCTAAAAAAACTTAAGAATATTGTGTATAAACATGAGTGCAGATCCAGACCATTTGTAATTATTAATTAAAAACAATAACCCATAAGGACCTAAATAAACAAACAGGGATGGGATGGATAGGACCAATTTTTGCAGGGTGCTCCTTGCTTGGAAGATTTGCTCCCAAGGGGACTTGAGAGTCTCCCGCTCCTCTCCGCCCGACTCCCTGTGGGGACCATGGGTTTCTAGGGAACCAAAGCTAAGGCCTAGATTAAGTTTTGGGAAGGGCTGGGAGAGCCACGCAGTATTCTGAAAACCACCCAGCCTGGGGAGGGGTCCTGCGGGCGGCCTCCCTCTTCTTGAAGGCCGGCTCTTCTCTGCCCCTGAGTTCCAGCTCGGACTGGAAGGGCCGAGGCTCTGCATCCCGCGGTCTTAAAGGCTACCCCGAGTCCCAGCCAGCGAAGCTGGGGCGTAGCTGGGCTGGAGAGGCCGGCTTCCGTGCTTTTGCGTTTTTGAACTTTCTGTCCAAGAGACATCTGGGAAAACGTTTCGCATAGAAAATTATGTCATATGTAAACATATTTGGTCGACAAATACTTAGCAGATATGCATAAGTTTTCGCTGAAGCTGTCAGCATCCTGACTGTACTGGTGCCTTTGGTTAACATTAACACAACAGCAAATAGGTGATTTTCTAAAAGGGCCAGATCCCTCTGGAGAAGACGCTAAACTCGGGTGGAGACATTTAAACGTGCGACTAGGTGCCCATCTATGACCTCTCGTCCCCATCACTGCCCCTTGTCACCAACCATGCTGACTGTGCGCGGGGACAAGGCCACTTCCTCCCCTGATGACCAAGTCCCTGGTCTTCAGGGGAAATGGATACCAGGAGCCAGACCTTTGTCACAAGGGCATTCTGTGGAGAGAGGAAAGAAATACAACTGTCAGATGAGTGTCTCCACACGAGAGGACGTTGAGAAGAGAAGCTGCCCCGGGTCTGGTCCCGTGGGGACGGGTGAGTCGGCCCTACCGCCCACTTAGAGGAAGACACCGGTGAAAATCTCAGCCACCAGGTCGCTAGCACATCACGGAGGGCACAAGCGCCAAGGCGGCGGAGGCAGCTTCCCCGCGCGCCCACCCGGACGCGGACACGCGTTCCCCACTCGCGCCCGCGCTGCTGGGGACGCTGGGCTACGGCCGGGCCGAGCGGCCCGCGGGGCGAGCGAGGAGTGGAGGGGGGTGGGTGGACTAATGATGAAAAAGCCTCCTCCGTCCAGGCTCCTTAATTAAATGCATGGAAAGAGCCGAGGCGAGCACATCTGGATTCAATCTGTAGCTCTTTGATGGCATCAAATGTTCTTTTCCCAGATCAGGGCTGGAAGTTCTGGGCTGACTGCGGCCGTTTGCGCACACGCGGACCCTTCTTTTCCCTTCAATCGAGCCTCTCAGCTCTATTAGAAAAAAAGAAAATCTAACAAGAGAGCGAGGGAGTGCGTCTGTGTGTGCGTTTAAAGAACAAAACGTCACAAACAAAACGCTTGATATTTTCTTCTTCATAAAGTAACACATTTCTAACGAGACTATTAAAACGATTACTGCAGTCCATGAAAAAACTGCTCAGCACGTTTCTGCCCTCGGTCAAGTTAGGGCAGGGCCAGCGACGGAGCCCTCGGGGTGACTGAGACAGGGATTCTTGGGGTCCCCTCCGCTTCCGCCCCGGGGCTCTTGGATTCCTCTAGGCCTAGCATGGTCACCCGGAAAAGCGACACTGGCCATATCGAAGAGGTTACAGGATTAGCAGGAGTGCGGGACGGTGAAGATCTACTCCTAGGTTCTTTTCTGCTGCTTAATCCGTAAGCGTAGTATTAAGCCACGCTGAGGATCGATGCGGCGCCTCCTTGATCTCCGCAACCATCCTCGGTCTGCAGGAAAGCGTGGGAGCGCCTCCGTGATTATTGCGCTTGTTGTTTTATTGCATTATTTAATAGGCTGACGGCGGAGCCCAAGGCAGCCTCTATCTGCTCGCTCTCCAGCGCTTCGCTGTCGGACGCGCCCTGCGCTCCCCTCCCCAAAAAACTGTTAGAACAGCGGGAGACGTTAAGCGGTGGGGGAGAGAAAATTTGATTATGATAGTTGTGGATTTTTTTCCCAACAAGTTTCCCCCTAGCTGTTATCAAAACATGCAAATGAGGTTTTTCCAACGGGATCTTAAACAAATCTGGAGGAGGTAATGCCGAAGCAAAATAATCAGCCCGTTTGAAGTGACTGTGGGTTTCAGTTTGTCTTTTCTCCCTGTGATACTATTGCAGGGGAATGATAATTAGACCTTTACTTTAAAAATCCAAGGGGGCTCTCTACTTGTCTCTCCCCTCCCTCGCCCTCCCTCCTCCCTCTCGCCCTCTCTTGCTCCCTCCCTCTCTCTTTCTCTCTCGCTCTGATGTTGGCAAAGGGGTTTTCTTAATCAGAGTGTTTTTTGGTCTGAGGGAAAGGAGGAAGAAGGAGATTGCAATGGAGAAAGGGGGTCTGTAAAACGTCAGGCGCGGCACAAAGGCTTTGCCACGTAATTACAGGCTCCTATTAAGTGGAGATCTGCCCTCCCAGGGGTCTCCAATTTTCTTGTATTCCCTACAAAGTCTCCTCTGCATGCCAGTTTGTGCCTTTTGAAGTGCCAGAGAGCTTCTTGATCCAACTGAGAAGGAAAAAGGAGCTCAGCGAGAAGAGGGGGAGAGCAAGAAGGGAAAGGGGGGAACCCACCGCCACCCTCCTTCCGACTCTGGGAGCCCTACTTTTTATTTTTTATTTTTCTACTTTTTTTATCTTAAAGCGAGTAGTAAATGAGGTACAAACAAACAAAAAATAGAACAGTAGCAGCATACTAGTATTACAA